AGATCTAAAATAAAATGGTACATATATACTCATATACATCTTAAAAAGGAAAAAAGAATTAAAATTATAGACTCCTAGCCTAAATATATCTAAAAGTGTTCCTCGTAAGCCCGTTGGCCTCTAGATTCGATAATATTCACATTTGTCTTTTTGATTCACCGAAAGAGAACAGGATAAAGAAATTATATAAAATAAAAAATAAAAAAAATAAAAAAAAAATAAAAAAAATTGGCATTGAATTTTCATGTTAAAGGGGTAAGCAATAAGACAAGTTGCGTTGTGGCCTTTCAATTGTAACATGCAAATTGAAATAACTTATTGCAACTGTTCCTATTCAAATACGGAGAATAAGCATAAGCAGCTAACAATTTAACACTTTTTGATCATTACTCAAACAAACAAATTAAGTGTGGATACTCTTCGACCACTCCAAATTAATGAGCAACTTATAGTAATTTGCACGGCATATTGATTTGTGGGATGAAGGATATCAAGTTACATTATCAATTCAATAGATCGAGATAAGTCTTCGACATGTTATTCAATCTTTTCTAAGTACTAAATTAGTTTAGCAATTTCTTATGTCTAAATTACATATTGTATTTGAATTGCCTATATCTCTGTTGCAATATTCTTAAATTCGCTTCAGGCAAGAAAGTAGTATTACTAGTAATTTATCTCTTCATATGCTAAACATGAAACACAAAACAATATCTCCTAACCATTTCTGGTTTTGTGTTTTTTCCCCTTTTCGGCAGAAGAGGGGCTTAATTACAAGGATTAGGATATCTAATTGATATAATAATATGCTTGTGCATATGGATGCGGATCAAGATTTAAACTTGATGGGTTTGACTTTTAATGTTCTTATTACTTCCTCCGGTCCAAAATAAGTGATTTTTTGGCCTTTTTCTTGTGGTCCAAAATAAGTGATTTTTCCAGATTTCAAGAATGAATGAATTATTTTTTTCCTACATTGTCCTTGGAGTAAATAGTGTTGGAATATGTGTTAGGAGTGTTTATGTGATATAGTAAAGGTTAATATGGACAATTCCATTGCTAATTAATGCTAAAAGGTGGATTTCTTAATCTGTATGAAAACATCCAAAAAATCACTTATTTTGGACCGGAGGGAGTATTAAACTTACTAGTCTTAGGGTAAGCACTTTGCGCATGTTTCTTATGTCAATAAGTACTCCCTCCGGTTCACAATAAGTGACCAGTTTCTTTTTAACACACCCATTAAGAAAATGCTAAATCATATACAAAAATACCTAGTATGACTAAACTATCCTTATTAAATATTAGTCACATAGTTATAGTGAGGAGTGAGAAAACTTTTTAGGGATATGCACATAAGGGTAAAAGAGTAAAAGCAAATTGAATTTTTTCTTGATTACATAACTGGACACTTATTTTGGATCAAAATGAAAAAGTAAACTGGTCACTTATTGTGAACCAGAGGGAGTAAATACTTTTAAAAAAATTACATAAGTATTATTAAACAATGTCTTTGAGTAGTGTAATAAAACTAAAATGTTTAACTTTCTAAAAACATACTCCCAAATCCAACCCAACGAAAGTCCTTAGAGTTTTGTAAAAATATCTTATGAACATTATTGTTATTTTTATGCCTTAATATCGAACAAACAAATAAAAGAAATACTTTTATCACGATGAGGTTGTCCTTTAGCTCCTATGAAAAAAATTAAGAAGTGGAAATATAGGCTTTAAAAATGAATAATTTACAATAATAAACTAATGTATAAAAAATATTGGGAGTTGTCATTTGTTAGAATATTTGTAAAAATAAAAATAATTAACAATAACTCATTTAGAATATATTTTATCTTCTATTATTTCATCCTTATTGTTTCAAGTTTGCACACATTAATAGAAAAATAATTATTGATTGTATGTTGTTGTAAAATTATTGAGTAAATTCTATACATTTATAATAGATAATGTTTGCAAGTCAAAATAATTATTGAGTGTAGCTTCAAATATGATATAAAGTTTAATAAATAAAATTTTAGTTGATTTTAAAATTTTAAATATTAAAAAATTAACATGGAAGGTATTATAATTATGGTACAAACTTCAGATAAGTAAATAATTTATTGAAATCTTAATTGATTTAAAATTATGAATATTAGAATTTTTTACATAATTCAAATAAAGAGTTATTTAATAACTAAATTTAAGTTGATTTAAAAAGTTTAATATTAAATAAATAATTAAATATCGTGGAAAAAATCGTATCCAAAAATATAAATTAATTAGATAAAGGAGATAAATTAATATTAGACTAGGTTGAAATTATTATAAGCAAATTTTTTGAATGGTATAAGGTAAACTTAATTCAATTTGATGCACTATATTTTTATTTGATATTTGTCTTAAGTATATGGGAAATCCATGCCTATAGTATGCTTTTAACGTCATATTTTGCAAAACAACCCAATAGAGGAAGGACCGCAACTTCTTTGAGGAAAAACAAAAGAGGATCTTTATATCTTTGCATGCCTCAAGTTTCTTCTGTGGTCGGTAATTAATTTAACTATCTTTATTCCGACATGCAATTAATTTACTATGAATATATTGATTTTATAGTACTTTTTATGATTCTTTTTCAACGTTTCCAAAAGTTATCCATCTTCTCAAGTTCAAAATGCTTTCAATATTTCATTAGAGGATAATTAGGCCGCTCATTATAAGCAAAGGGTCGCAGAAACCTTGAAGAGCCAAGGGACACAAAAATGATTAGGAGAATAATTAGTATTTATTAGTAATATGATAACATAAATTATTATTACAACCTGCTCTTGAAGATTGCTGAGATAATAATTACAAAAAAAAAAAAAAAAATTCTAAATTATTAACAACCCAAAATCTAGTGGCCTCCTTATCTCTTCACTTTCATAGTTGTCAAAACAATATCTGACTAATATTAAATTACTTGAAGCAGTATCAAACTTTCGTAAGGCCGGTTCTATACATATCATCAAATTAATCTTGTTAAACATCGTCTTCATTTCCTATAATTGCAATTTCCTAATGTTGATTTAGCATCTATTATTGGCTACATTCTATGTTTCTAATCAAACATAGATAAATATTTGATATTGACTTAATTCGTTACATAGACACACATATATATGTAGCGGAAATATGCATGATCCACAGAGAAGCCTTAACTTGGAAAAATGATTCAGGCTCCTTTATTTAGTATTTAATAAGTAAGCATGATTCTTCTTGTATATTATGCACATAATTAAGCAACTATTTATGTTGTTTTTTTCTTTGTGCAGTCCCCAACTTGTTTCGGACTGAAGCGTAGTTGTTGTTATAACTGTCCCCTTAAATATGTATCTATTTAATTTAAACTACATCTACTCAATATTCAAACAAAGCGTGTTTCTGCATGTATGTTACATACAGGACAAACTCAACAAAGCATGATTAATCTTAAGTTTTCCTGCTATAATTATTCTAATGATCACGTACGTAAAAGAAATGAAACTAAAATAATCCTAAAGTCCCAAAAGTCCACCATCTAGCTAAAATAGATTATCTGAATAAACAATACAGAATTAGAGTGTAATGCAATGTTAATCAATTAACTAGACAACTTTAATTATGCAGCCTATAAAACAAAATACAACTCTCCTATGTGCGCTGTATACACCGCAGCTTCGATAATAGTTTCCTATACCATTGTGCATTCGCATATTTATTCATAAAAAATGCAATGTCATTTTTATTGTAGAATATACCCAAAAGGCAGAACGTGTTAGAAAAAGAATCTTATATATGCATGCAAATTGCAATCAAAATTTGATTGCAATCTTATACTCGTCGGAGTTGGTTTTAAATTGTTTTTTCTTGATTCTTTGGAACCTTAAAAGGATCTCACCTTTTCGTACAGTCTTAAGGCTAAACATCCCTCACAAAAGCCTAAAAGACTATACACAATTTCATAAGTTAAAACTGCTAGATTCTGAATCTCTTTCTGATTCTCCTCTAATTTGTTTAATAGATTTTTTTATAGTTATACTCTGATAAAAAGATAAAATACTCATCACATGTCCATTTTTATTTAGAGAGGTAGTTCAGGTTTGTTTTCCCTAATACTGTCGTTTGAGAAAATTAATTAGGGAGTAATCAAGAAGTGAAATTGCTTGACGCCTTGACTTTATTATTTTATTATCTAACTCCTTGCTAATGCCAGCGGGTTCTGACTATTTTATGTAGGGTCACTCTATTATCATCAGTTGATATTGGCAAAAAATCAAGGTCAAATGGTAGTGAACATATTGAAAATTAATTCTTTAGGTTATATATATATATATATATATCTGGGACAAGCATTTAGCACCTTTCTCTTTTTATTTATTGTACACCTTATTCCGAGAACTTTTTGCTTCTTTTTAGAAGAAAGATTTAGAAAAGAAAATGAAGAATCAAGCGGAATAGAGCTAAAAAAAATACTTTCTCCGGTCCACAATAAGTGATCAATTTGCTTTGGGCATACCCATTAAGGAAATACTAAATTCTACCCTTCATTAAATGTTGCACCATAATTATAGTAGTACTTACTTCTCTTCTCAAATGTGAGGAGTAAATGACTTTTTAGGGATACATACATAAGGGTAATTTTGAAAAAACAAATTGAATTTTTTCTTGATTATATAAATGGGAACTTATTTTGGACCAAAATAAAAAAGCAAACTAATCACTTATTATGAACCGAAGGGAGTACATCAAGGAGCTTGAGGTAGGATTGCGTTTGTGTTTCATCTTAAATAGAAAATTAGTTGTTGTTTAAATTTAAGTCTTCCATTAAAAAGCGAAGGAAAGTAAAGGACTAAATTAATAATAACAATAATAAAAGTTGAAACAAAGATTTCTCATTTTCTAGGTGTTAGCCTTAATGTAACTACAGTGTTACGTATATTCAGCTTCATAAATTTATATTTATGATTGGTGGTGGAATGCAGTTGTCCAAGGCAAAGTGGAAGCGAAGAAGGCGGCGTACCTGCGATTAGAGGGAGCATTGGCGAGGAGGAAAGGAGAGCAAACAGTGAGAGATATAAGGTAGCAAGGAAGGAGGCGAAGCTGGCAGTCTGGGAGGCTAAGACTGCGACTTTTGCTCGTCTGTATGAGGAACAAGGGGACAAAGGCGGGGAGAAGAAGTTATTCCGGCTGGCTAAGGCGAGAGAGAGGAGGGATCAGGATCTGGACCAAGTGAGGTGCATCAAAGATGAGGACGGCAAAGTTTTGACGGGGGATGACCAGATTAAGAGGAGGTGGCAGACCTACTTTCAGAAACTTCTAAATGAAGTAAGGGATCAGGATATTGCTCTAGGTGAATTGAGGAATGCAGGAAGTCCCCAAGACTTTAGTTATTGTAGGCCCATTGAGGTCGAGGAGGTCATGGAGGCAATGCATAAGATGAGTAGGGGCAGAGCTACCGGGCCTGACGAAATTCCGGTTGAACTTTGGAGGTATGTGGGTAGAGCAGGCTTGGAATGGCTTACTGGGCTATTTAATGGTATATTCGAGACGAATAGGATGCCGGAGGAGTAGAGGTGGAGTACAATGGTTCGTTGTACAAGAACAAAGGTGATATCCAGAGTTGTAACAATTATAGGGGTATCAAATTACTGAGTCATACCATGAAAGTTTGGAGAGAGTGGTAGAAATGAGGGTGCAAAGGGCGGTGCCTATTTCATACAACCAGTTCGGGTTCATGTCGGGGCGTTCTACCACAGAAGCTATCCACCTTATTAGGAGGATGGTGGAACAGTACAGGGATAGGAAGAAGGATCTCCACATGGTGTTTATTGATCTGGAGAAAGCGTACGACAAGGTTCCTAGGGAGGTTCTATGGAGCTTCTTGGAGGCTAAAGAGGTTCCGGCTGCCTACATTAGGGTGATTAATGACATGTATGATGGAGCTAAGACTCGGGTTAGGACAGTAGGAGGCGATTCAGAGCATTTTCTAGTTGTTATGGGGCTGCACCAAGGGTCTGCGCTCAGCCCATTCCTATTTGCCCTGGTGATAGATGCACTAACTCATCATATTCAAGGGAGGTGCCATGGTGTATGTTATTTGCTGATGACATAGTTCTGATTGATGAGACACGAGGCAGCGTCAATAAGAGGCTGGAGGTTTGGAGACAGGCCCTTGAGTCTAGGGGTTTCAAGTTGAGCAGGACTAAGACGGAATACCTAGAGTGCAAGTTCAACGTCGAGCCGACGAAAGTGGGAGTGGACGTGAGGCTTGACTCTCAAGCCATTCCCAAGAGGGGTAGTTTCAAGTACCTTGGGTCGGTTATTCAGGGGAATGGGGAGCTCGACGAGGATGTCACACATCATATAGGGGTGGGGTGGATGAAGTGGAGGTTAGCGTCCAGGAGTCTTGTGTGACAAGAAAGTGCCACTGTTGCTAAAAGGTAAGTTTTATAGAGCAGTAGTTAGGCCTGCCATGTTGTACGGGACTGAGTGTTGGCCGGTTAAGAACTCACATATCCAGAAGATGAAAGTAGCAGAGATGAGGATGTTGAGGTGGATGTGTGGGCATACTAAGATGGATAAGATTAGAAATGAAGATATTCGGGAGAAGGTGGGTGTGGCCCCCATGGAGGACAAGATGCGGGAAGCAAGACTCAGGTGGTTCGGGCACATTCAGAGGAGGAGAACTGATGCACCGGTGAGGAGTTGTGAGCGACTGGCTGTGATGGGCACGAGGAGAGGTAGATGGTGGCCCAAGAAGTATTGGGGAGAGGTGATCAGGCAGGACATGGAGCGACTTAGGATTACTGAGGACATGGCCCTTGACAGGGTATTGTGGAGGTCGAGCATTAAGGTTGTAGGTTAGGAGGAAGTTGCAAATATTTCTACGGTATTCCCGAGTAGGACTAGACAGTTAGGATTTAGTTTTATGATGCTAGTGGTTATCTATTGATGCATGGCTTTATCTATCGGTTATTATTGTACTTGACATCTATTTCGTATTTCCTATATTGCTGTTATTTTATTATGACTCTATTGATGGTACTAATATATCGTCTCTTGTCGTCTTCTTGAGCCGAGGGTCTCCTGAAAACAGCCTCTCTGCCTCTTGGGGTAGGGGTAAGGTCTGCGTACACATTACCCTCCCCATACCCCACTAGTGGGATTACACTGGGTCGTTGTTGTTGTTGTTGTTGTTGTTGAGTTTAACCTCTATGCATTGTTTGTGAAATAATTTTTGCACCAGATTATTTAAATAATAATAACCGTCTGTAACAAGTGGAACTAGTAACCGGAGAAAATAATATAGATTACCTATTACACCAGAATACATTATATCTATAATATAAAAATTGTACATATTAGTTAAAGCTTATGCTCTATACAAGCTATGCATATCCAGAACTCCGACTAACTTATCTTATTGAACCTCTTCCCTAAGTTTGATTTTCTCATTTGATCGTGAATCATTCAACAGCCTAAGAGTTCGTTTGGTATGTGAAATAAGGGATAATAATCTCGATCTCCCATTTTATTGAATTTTTTTGAATTCGGGTTTAGTAATTTTCGGATTAGTTAATCCAATAATTAAGTATTACTCTATCCCACATTGAGAGAGTGGGATAATATTCCGAGACTAATTAATTCCAGGATAAAAACTAAAATGATAAGAGGTGCCCTTCTCCCAAAGTCATTTAAACCATCCAAGTTAAAATTGAAAATACAAGTTTATCCCAACTTATCTGGTATACACCAAACACATGTTCATATTATATTCCTATATCCTATTTTTAGTCTAATGAACCAATTATCTTTCGATAAAAAATCACTAAATAATTCTGTTATTATTTTTTTCTATATTATAATAATCTCGGGATAACTTGTTCCCAACTACTCCAAGTGTCGTTCCTGCTAGACCGGGAGTAGGATAGAGAAAGAACAATTTTCCGAGCAAAAATATTTGTGTTGAGATGAATAAGTTATCATGAAACGAAAAATCTTTTACTCCCTCCGTTTCAATTTATGTGAACATATTTCCTTTTTAGTCCGTGCCAAAAAGAATGACCTCTTTCCCTATTTGGAAACAATTTACCTTTATGCAATGATTTATAGCCACACAAAATATATATGCTTCATTTTACACCACAAGTTCAAAAGTCTTCTCTCTTTTCTTAAACTCTGTGACCAGTCAAATGGGTTCACATAAATTGAAACGGATGGAGTATTAAAAAGAGTGCTGCTATTCGGCCAAACTCAGCGTGGCCCAAAAATGACCACACCCGTGAAATGCCAGTAATGCCCTTATTTTTCCGTTTGGCTTAATGGCCCTTTTTTCCCTCCAAAATATTTCCCTCCAAAATTAGTTAATAACTTTTGATTATTCCAAAACATTGATCCCATAAATCATCATTCTCTCAGCATGGGAAGATAAAAAGCCTTCGTATATACGGATGGCAGCCTTCGTACATACGCTCAATTACGTTTTTTTTAAAATATAATTACGTATTTTTGTTAAATACAATTACGTATTTTTTTTATTAAATGCAATTTATACGGATGGGAAGATCAAAGGTCTATTAAGTATATATCATACCATATACTTATGTTAAGATAGCTTTCATTAAACACATAATTCACCACACTTCCCTTAACCTAAACATGAATACTAACCGAGAAACTAGTTTGGACCCATTAAACCCGAATAACAGTCTAGAAACTAGGTCGGATCAACTAAGGAATGCATTACACATATCATTAGGGTTGAATTCGGACGACAGTTTGATGAATGAAGATGAATCGATCGACATTGATTCAGACGGCAACTTCAATGATGGAGAAAATCCTGTTGACGATGCTGCTGCTGATGATGATGATGATGATTACGACGGCCATTATTTAGAGGAAGAGGGAGAAGTTGGAGAGGACAGGGAAATGCCTAATGAGTTCAATGAAGAAGATCTTATAATTGGTTCAATTACTGGGATGCGGTTCAGTAGTAAGGATGTTCTGTTTGATTTTTACAAAGAACATGCAAGATTATCGGGTTTTTGCATTGTCAAAAGAACGTCCAACAAAAAAGGTGGTGATATTGTTAGGTATGTGCAATATGGTTGTGATAGGTCTAGGAAACCAAGGAATAAGCATGTTACCAAGAGGAAGAACTGCCGTGCTAGAATAAATAGAATTTTGGAGGAGAATGGTTCATGGCGTGTTTCAAAGGTGGTAAAAAAACATAATCATCAATTGGAACCAGCACTATCGCGATTGATGGCTGGACAAAGATCGCTTAGCAAGTCTCTTAAGAGAACTCTTGCAGCCAAAGATATTGCTGGCTTAAGACCCTCAAAAAATATAAGAGTCGCTGAAGTACTTGCTGGTGGCCCCGAAAATCTGGGTTGTACACCAAAGGACTGTAGAAATTATATCTTGAAGAGTAGAAAGCTTCAGTTGCAAGAAGGGGATGCACAATCCTTACTCAAGTTCTTCAGTGACATGCAGCAAAAAGATAGGGAATTTTACTACTCCGTAGATGTGGATAGTTTTGGTCGACTTCGTAATGTCGTATGGGTTCATTCACACTCTAAGGTTGCATATGAGGAGTTCCATGATGTAATATGCCTTGATACCACATACCTTGTGAATCGATACAATATGCCATTTGCTTCATTTGTTGGTGTCAATCAGCATACGCAGTCCATACTTTTGGGATGTGCTCTTATGTCTAGTGAGGATATAACAAGTTACAAAATGGTGCTATCTACATGGCTTGGGGCTCTAAACAATGTTCATCCATTAGCTATCATGACTGACCAATGTGATAGTATAAAGGCTGCCATCAGTGCTATGATGCCAAATACAATACATAGATATTGTATATGGCACATATTCGCAAAGTTGCCTACGAAGTTAAGCGGAGTTCTTGATGGTAAGATTGCAAAGGTAGAATTTAAGGCTTTAGTCCTTGATAGCATTAACGTTGCTGAGTTTGAGAGACGATGGACTGATTTTATTGAAAAATATAACTTAGAGGAAAGGGATTGGTTTTATAAGCTTTATTTGGAGAAGGAGAAATGGGTTCCGGTATACCTAAATGACCACTTTTGGGCTGGGATGTTGTCCACACAAAGAAGTGAAGGAATGCATGCTTTCTTTGACGGATTCATCAACCGGCAAAGCACTTTGAAGCTATTTGTTCAGCAATATGAGTTAGTCATAAGAGCTAAGTTCGAGAAAGAATTGGAAGCTGAATATAGGTCAAGGTGCTTTGAACCAAAATGTTTATCTGAATTTGCATGGGAGGGAAAATTTCAAACATGTTATACTCGTGAAGTGTTTGAATTTTTTCAAGTACAGTTAAGGAAACTGTACCACTGTGAAATCAGCTCCCCTGAAGACCATCAAGCAACAGCTGGGGTGGAGAATTACATTATCTCAGATTATTCGTTCAGGAGTTTTAACACTAGAGATCCATTTGTATTCGCGGTTGAATATACACCTATTGGCGAATATCTAAGTTGCAGCTGCAAGTGGTTTGAAACAAGAGGTATTCTATGCTGCCATATACTTAAGGT